TAGAGTGAGAAAAACCAAAGTGAAAAGAAATTTGGTGGTGCACAACAGGGATATAGTGACTGAAATCTTGACAGAAAGGATGGCCTGAGGGTCACTGACATGGCCTTGGTGAGAAGCAGAAATTAGTTTTCAGTTTTTTGTTTGTTTGTTTGTTTAGAGAGATTTTGCTATAGGGTACATGCACTCGCCAGAGAGACAGAAACCAAGAAATCAGCCCTCTCCCCCAAGGAGGGATGGCCATGCCACAATCCCTTCTCCTCCATTCTCCTCTCAGGATCTTGGGCATACAACACACAGACACCTGGCGTGAGTTTCAAGTCACTGGGTCCAAGACTGGAACTGTGGTTGACTCCATGGGAATCCAGTGATGCAAACATTCCGCCATCTGCTGGTCCCATTTGTACAAGCATTGAGACCAAGCCAGTCAGGGCAAGTGAAATCACCCAGGCCATCTACTGATGCAGGAGCTGAGGCCAGCCCAGCTATCCCGTGAGCAGTGAGGACCAAGCCGGAGTGAGAACTTAGTGCTTGAATCTAAATCTAGCCTGTCCTTCTCCCTAACACACCTACTGCACGTGCCTAGTAAAAATGAAGAGAGCTCTTTGTGACATGAGCCACAGCTATTGTCTTAGTCATTCCTCTCTGTCTCTGTCTCTCACAGAAAGGCAGGTGAGACAGGAAATGCACTTGAAAACATTGTGAAACCTTCCGTTATTGGCGATCTATCACTGGTAAATTACAGATTCTATGTACTGAGTGCCAGGCATGACGCTTTCGCCACCGTACATCTTCCCAACTTATCCTGAGAGGCAGCTATCATTACAATATTATGCAAATACGGCAAATGGCTGAGGAAGCACAATGATTTGCCGAAGGTCACACAGAGCTATAAGCAGAGGAGGCAGGATTTGAAGCCCTTCTTGTCCAATGCTGTGTAATTATACAGGGATTTGCTCATTTTCTAGGACATAAATTAAGGAGAAAGAATGTCCTGGGTAGAGGGTTTACAGTTTACTGTGTAGCAATGCATCCTCCCAAGCCCTCAGCCTCCCTGTGAGATGGGCAGGAACACCCACAAGCTAGGAATGCGCCAACTCAGGGACTAGGCACTCGAGTGCCCGGTTCCAGGTCCCCTTGGCGGCAAACCCAGGCCTTCTTAATCCCACTTATGTGCTCTTCCATCACACTGGAGCTGAAATAAAGGGAAGAAACCAAGGAAGACAAATACACTTTAAGTTTGAGATATCACACCAGATGTTTTCAGTAAATGTTGTATGAAGGCCGTTCAACACCAGATTACAGTTATTCTAAAGTGCCCACTTGAGAAAAATGAGCATTTTAGGGGAAACTATGTGTTTCTGTTCTCCTTCTCTCTGCTTCAGTGGGTTGACCCTAAATAATAAACAACAAAGCAGTGAGCACCCTTCCCAAGCTGAGCCAGGTAGGTGGTCAGGGACCGCTGACAGCTCCTCCCTCACAGGTGGTCATGCTGCAGGTAGGGCCCACTCAGTCACAAGCCACTCGCCATGGCCATCGCTGCACCAGGTGCTGGGCCACGAGCTAGGACAGGGAGAGGGTCTGGCCCTCAGGAAGCGCACGCTTTAGAGGTATGACAGGGATGTACGCTCACAGTGGCACGACACAGCCTGTCACGACGTGGGTCCAAATTGTTGTGGGGTCACATGAGAGTGGATCTGAGAGGACTTCCTATAGGAAGGGGCATTTGAATTGAGTTCAAGTAAGAGAAAGGTAAGAAAGGGTCATTCTCACCAAAGAGACTAGCTTGAGCCAAAGTAGGAGTGAAAAAGAGCACAGAGAGTACAAAATAGCCCTGGCTTCTCCAAGCAAGGACATTCTCTCAGCAATGAAGCCAGGCTGTGAGCATCCGTCAGTGTCAGTCACTGGGCAGGCACTTGGTAAACATCTGCATGACGGAGCAGGGCTGTGGAGGTACTGCTGCCCACGAGGAGCCCGCACGTGTTCGCTGCATCAGCGCGGCCCCTTACCAGCACTTACAGGCGTCCTTACCGTGTGCACGTCTGTGCTACACCACCAAGTGCTCAGACCCTGTGTCAGGCAGACCGCACTCTCCCTCAAGCTGGACAAGTACCGTACTTGGTGGCCATCTGCTTAACTGGCCGCACCGGGGCACAGGGATGACGGGCAGCCCTCTCCCCACAGGGCTCGCCTTGTATACCCAGAGTGCACCCTGGAGCAGATGACAGTGGAGCTAACATGTCTACTCCCTTTCAGGGCTGATAGCTGCTGTATCATTTGCTGATCTGAGGAAGGGAGTTTCTTTAGGAAACAGTCATAATTCCCTTTGCTTGCACGAGATGGCAGGTTTTGAAAAGCCCTTCCCGTGCATTCTTATCCATCATCCCATGTGGTTGTTACGAGCCTGGCCAAGTCCCAGAACAGCTAGCATCCCATTCTACAGGTGAGAAAAAGAGGCCCCAGCAAGACGCAGGGACTCAAGGTCACGCAGCAAGTCTGTGATGAAATCAGACTCAGGTCCATGCTTTCTGGCTGCATACCTTGCTCTTTCCTCTGCACCGTACCATCTGCCTAGAATACAGCAACATCATCCTCATTATGATATGAATCCCCAGATGAAATGTGGCCAAATCACATCCCTGCGGGGAACATGGCTACATCATAAATTAAAAGCCCGATTAATGAACATAGCCTTTTAACTGGGACTTAGGACCGTCCCCGGAGGCAGGATATAAAGGAAGAGCCCTTTCAAAGTCAATGGCTGTCTATTCTGGAAGTCACCCAGAGACCCACTTGCCCATGTGAAGAGCCTTCGAACCCAAATTATTCACCCGTCTGTATCTCTCTTCTCACATGGTCTTCTGGGGCCCTGGTGGCAAATGAGCTGGCTTGGAATCACGCCCAGACCTCTGCCTGCTTTGGCCTGCATGTATGTTCAACAATCCATCATGCCGTGTGGATGGCCCAGGTGTTCCAGGCTTTGACACATCACTTAACACTAAGAACACCTGAAGCCAGTAGAGACAATGCCCCCTCTCCCCCAGTTCAAATGGAGAACTGAAGAAGGATTTTTCTAGCGGTCCAAACGTGCGATAGTTTGCCAGTGGACAGGGGCAACGTGTGTGACTAGATTAAAGGCCATTTTTGTTCTGCTGATAATGGGAAGGGGCTAGACAAGAGGTGGGGAGGTGACAAGAGGCAGTTTTGACTGCTAGCTTGAAATTTTATTTTTATTCCCATACCATGGCCAATAACTAATAACAATAACAATCTAAACTCCAGGATTCCTGTGAGTCCAGAGATGGTAAGTTACTACTTTCTTGTCTAAACATCTCCAGTGGCTGGGTTTGAGGCAGGCTGTAGAGACCGAGGGCTGGTGTGTTCTGGTCCCTTTCCATGCCGTAGCTAGCTGCAGTGCCCCTCCACCCCCTGTCCCCAGCCAAGTCACAAGAAGAACGGTCTCTGGGCTAGCCTGGATCACAGGGGACTGCTCCCACCACCCTCTTGAACCTGCCCGGGGTTCACCAGCTGGGAGGATCCAACCGTCAGCCTCTATCTGGGACTCTGTGGGGACCACCTGGCAAACCCAGGATCTCCCCGCCGAACAGCCATGACCCTTCTTGTCCTCATTACCTGCCCAGATGTGCAGTAGGACAGGAGGGCAGAGAGACTGGAGGACACAGGAGATCAACCACCTTTCACGGCGGGATCCCTGTTCAGTAATAGGAAGCCATCCAACTAGCGACCACGCTTCCAGAAACGTCACTGCCACAGAGGAGAGAGTTTTGCAGCTGCAGACCCCGAGTGCTCTCACCTACCTGTCTTCCACTGCAGGACTTCCTCTCGCCTCCTCGGGCCACGCTCCTGGATCCCTCACTCTTCCAGCCGCCAGCACTTGCAGCGGCGGTGGGGGGGCGGGGAGTGCGATAGTTTGCCAGTGGACAGGGGGCAACGTGTGTGACTAGATTAAAGGCCATTTTTGTTCTGCTGATAATGGGAAGGGGCTAGACAAGAGGTGGGGAGGTGACAAGAGGCAGTTTTGACTGCTAGCTTGAAATTTTATTTTTATTCCCATACCATGGCCAATAACTAATAACAATAACAATCTAAACTCCAGGATTCCTGTGAGTCCAGAGATGGTAAGTTACTACTTTCTTGTCTAAACATCTCCAGTGGCTGGGTTTGAGGCAGGCTGTAGAGACCGAGGGCTGGTGTGTTCTGGTCCCTTTCCATGCCGTAGCTAGCTGCAGTGCCCCTCCACCCCCTGTCCCCAGCCAAGTCACAAGAAGAACGGTCTCTGGGCTAGCCTGGATCACAGGGGACTGCTCCCACCACCCTCTTGAACCTGCCCGGGGTTCACCAGCTGGGAGGATCCAACCGTCAGCCTCTATCTGGGACTCTGTGGGGACCACCTGGCAAACCCAGGATCTCCCCGCCGAACAGCCATGACCCTTCTTGTCCTCATTACCTGCCCAGATGTGCAGTAGGACAGGAGGGCAGAGAGACTGGAGGACACAGGAGATCAACCACCTTTCACGGCGGGATCCCTGTTCAGTAATAGGAAGCCATCCAACTAGCGACCACGCTTCCAGAAACGTCACTGCCACAGAGGAGAGAGTTTTGCAGCTGCAGACCCCGAGTGCTCTCACCTACCTGTCTTCCACTGCAGGACTTCCTCTCGCCTCCTCGGGCCACGCTCCTGGATCCCTCCCTCTTCCAGCCGCCAGCACTTGCAGCGGCGGTGGGCGGACTGAGAGTCCCAGCACCTGCACCTGCGAGCTGGGTCTCGCTCGGGTCCCCACGGCGAGGCTGCCTGGAGGAGGAGCGAGCGGGAGGATGCTGCCCTCGCCGCCGCCGCCGCGGTGCTGATGCGGTTGCTATGGTTATGGAACTCCGCAGCTGCCCCCTCTCGGTGCAACAGCTGCCCGGCCGCGGCCCGAGGCAGCCCCAGCGAGCCGGCGCCGGGGGGAAGGGGTGGAAACACGGCCCGGGGGGGCAACCGC